ACTTAAATGATTTTAGCATATGGCTGCAATATAACAGAGTGAAAAATTTAAGGGGGTCTGAATACTTTCTGTACCCACTGTACTGTGTGCCTACTCTGTCACATCAACTCCTACTCATACAGTAAATAAAGTAAGCTGTACATTTGGCTTGGCTAGGTCAGATGCAATTCTTCTACTTAACTTCCAACACGAAGAATAAAATCTGCTGTTGCCAGTAAGGTACGATTAAGGCTTCCCGACACTCTGCCTTGTTGTGCATATGCAGTACAAACATGTCATTTGATGACTTCTCTTCCATTTTGGTTTACTTAAAGCACAAAGCAGACACAGCCTGGGGGACATGTTGCCTGTTAGCCTTTGTTTTGACAGCATTTCTGGTGCAGTTTTTTTTTTTTTAGCAGGTTACTGGGGGAAGCCAGTGTGAGCTCCGCTGCTCTACGCTAACCTGGGGTCTCTGGGGCATGCTACACACATGGAAGCACTTTAGAGCTTCACTACACTGCAATTGGGTCTATTACCATAATTATAGCTTTAAAGCCCCAGCAATTTGTAGCAGGCATGCACCAGCGCAACCAGCGGCCCTTTGGCCCTGTGGAACAAGAGACACCCCGCCCCCCCACACACAGTTTTTTTTTTTAACACACTCTTCTTTGTCTCTGCATTTCATTCTCTGCCTTCTATGGTTACATCCATATCAGAGGAGAGTTTCACAAGTTTGTCAGTTTATGGTGCATGTTCTCTAGGTTATGCATTCTAACAGAGGGAGATGAGATGAGCCCAGAGAGAGCGCGGAGGTGGAGTGCTCCCGTACATTACCACTATGTTGCTGTTGCGAGGGAGACAGGGATTTGTAGTCAGGGCTTTTCCATAGGAGCTCGCCAACTATCACCTCAGTGAGACTGTGCAGTATGATCAAACTGCATCTTGATTCAAAATGAAGTCCAGGCCATTACTGATGTTTTAACGCAGTTTGTAGGGAATCACCCTTGGCTCATATTAAACACAAAGCTGAAATGTAATTTCTCACCACTGGAGCCTGTACAGTGGCTTGTACAGCAAGGTGGAGGGGAGGGGGGAGTTGGTTTGGTCCAAAACCAAACCTGCTATAAGCATTAAACCGAGGTGCATCCTAACTAAAATGATGGGGGCCTATTACTCACTGCGGCTGAGAGTTTGTTTTAGCACTGGCTGCCCTCAGTGCCCCATTAGACCTGGCCTTTTCTCTGGTGGGCACCATAAACACATCAAAACACTCAAATAAACCCTTCCACTCGGCCCCTGTAACACCATAATCAATAGCGCAGTACAGCAAGTCA